TGCTTTACCCATGGGTGTATGTATTGATTGTTGCTTTACCTCAGCTTTCTAGACTGCAACTTCACTGGCTGCAGCAAAAGAAACTGTGGGCTCTGACAATGAAATTAATAAAGTCTGTACTCTGCTCTTACAGGGCAGTTATGACTGTTTCAGCCAGTTGTAGACTACAGTCTCTATATCTCTTATTTGTTCTCCCTCTAAGTGTGACAAATCTGTTTGCTGCCTTATAGAGTAGAGTGTATCACAGTCATCAGCACATTTCCTGTACTTCTCTCTCTTTGTAGAGTTTTCTACAAGTATCTCTACTTAGTACAAGTATTTCTACCCATAAAAAATGAGTATTAAATAAAAATAAAATTATTTTATAGTACACTTAAAAAATGCAATGCTAATATTTTTTATACGAATTTTCAACATTTTCAAACCTAAAATCAGCAAGCTTATATTTTGGTGGGTTTCCAGGAAGTAAGTATATGCACTGCCGGTTTTAGTGCTGCTGAGTGAAGAGCATCAGTGAATGTCACAGTTTTGCATTTTGCACTGAAACCGGCAGATTCATGCATTGAGTTTGAATGGAAATCTTATACAGTATTGCAGTTAGTCAATCTAAAATGGTGATTGTGCATTAACAGCTGTCAACCATGTCGGTACGCGGCCTGAACTTATTGCGCACCACTTATGTGCACCCCGTATATATACACTGTATATAATACCCCAAAATCAAACACAGTTCATCTCTTATGCACGTTTATCACGTCAAACATTTAGTTTTAGAATATTAGAACTAAAAACATCAACATAACATGGGCATCAATCACTGTACTGAATACTTGCAGGCTAAGAAATAAATTATTACGATCCATCTGGATTCAAATCCACATCATTTGAATATCTCAACATCGATGTCTGTCAAAAAATAATGTGCACAATACACTCTCATATGCTGGTACATATATTCGGGAACTTGACAGGTGATTTTTATAAAGTGTAGTTTGATCACTATCTTCTCAGTTGTTTAAAAGATTAAGGCAATAATCAAAGTTTGATAAAAATGTTGTTTAATTTTCCAATTAAGAGATGATCATCATTTTGCAGATTTTGAGCCATATAATGTATATATTCATTTTAATAAATATTTACATATTATATCTGGGAATCGATTAATTTGCATTTGCTTTCCTAAAATACATATTTTCATACCAGCAACCCATCCATTTTTACAGCAGTCTGTTTCTGTTAAAAATAAAATAGGATTATTTAGAAGTCCATTTTCAGCTTTTTATTTTAATTTAAGAAATTAGATTTTCATGTTGATTTCACAACTCATTTGTGGTAAATAAACATTCTTAGACAACGTGCATCTCTGACACTTCAGTTGTAGACATCAAACACGTATGACTATATAAATATAATCCTCCAACTAAATCTAATTTCCCCACCACCACTTAATTTCCATGCCAGCATGTTAAAAGCAGACTCAGCCATCCCTTACACCCTGTTTAGATGATGCCTAGTGGCACAGTTTCCTGTCCTTCAGTGTTTGTGTGTTCAGGTGGTAGTGGCCCATGCATGGCTCCTGACCTGTGTGCTGATTAAATGGGACCCTGCCCTGTCTCAGTTCCCTTCCCAGCATGTATGTAGGACGCTTACTCTCTAAGGATGGCTACTAAGTGACGTTATAAGATGCTTGAGGCAGAGGACTGGAATACAACCTCTCTATACGGGGCAATTTACTGCCCTGAAATACTCCAGACCTGGCCTAGTCTGTGCCTATGACCGACGGCACTCTAAAAAAGAGAAAAAGGAGGGACAGCAAGAGCGATACCATATAAAACCCAACCATACCATTTTAACTTTGATTAATGGGCTTGTTTTCATTGCCTCGGGAGGTGCAGCAAATTTACTGTTGACTATTTAATGCTGTATTTGTATGATGAGGAATGCATTTATCATTGAAGTGAACCACCGTTCAAGTTGCAGATAATTTTCACATCCACTGGCATGCTGCAGTGCTGATGTGCATTAATGCTTACCCAGAATAAGAGATTTAAGTGGCTCTGTTCAACTAAAGATGAGGCAGTTTTCATCGGCTGTTTAGGTACTATGCATGCTGTGAATTTCAATTTCAAACAGAATCAAATCTCTTTCAACAAGGTATAATGAAGAAGAAAAGCCTCTTTTCTTCCTCTGGGCTCCTAATTCCCAAGCATCTTCTGCCTCAAAGGGTGATTTGGAGCAATACAGTCTTCTATTATTCTCGCCCAGCATTCCACCGTCAGCTGAACATGTTGCAGTGAATAAGAAGTGCTGCATTGCTGCAGATGTGTGTGTAGCTGGGTTTAGTGTGTCTGAATGATGTGCCATACAAATAGCTAATATCTAATTTTCTACAAAATAATTATATGAGCATGTAATGTTCTTGCTAAAAAGACCAATGTTTTAGATGCTCCATTAGGAGTGTGCAGAAATTTGTTACATGCAGTTAAATATTGGTGACCTGAATCAAATTATTTTTTAGTTCTGGGTATGATGTAATAAAAACATAATTTACTTTTACGTATATAAAATAACTTTTTATATCTTAATTTTTAAGCAATATTGTCTAACAGTTCGGGTTCAGTAAGTTTTTTTAAATTATTATTATTATTAAAAATTAATACTTCTATTCAGTAAGGATGCATTAAATTGATTAAAAGTGATGGTAAAGACATGTTTAATGTTAAAAATGATTTCTATTGCAGAAAGAAATGTTTCCAGAGCACCAAATAAGCATATTGTAATGATTTCTGAAGGATCATGTGACACTTAAACCTGGAGAAATAGCTGCTGAAAATTCAGCTTTGACATCATAGAAATAATTTACATTTAACATATAATAAATAGAAACAGTTATTTTATATTGTAATAATATTTCACAATATTACTGATTTTACTGTATTTTTTATCAAATATTTGCAACCTTGATAAGCATAAGAGACAAAATCATTAAAAAGTCCTCCCAACCCCAAACTTTTGAAAAGTAGCATATTTTTATGTTGCTTCTGAGCATCTTTTATTGATAACTAATCAAGCGAACACTGAAAATACCACAAATATGTTGTATTTTGGATGCTGGTCTTCATCACAAGCTGCTGGTGTGTTGGTATTCCCATTAGACTTGTTAATTAGCTTAACCAGCAAGCTTTTTTGGTCACCCAGCTTAACTAGAGGGTTCAAACTGGTCAACCAGTTTCAGTATTGTTGTTGGCTATGCTGGACCAGCACTAGGGGTGGGAATCACCAGAGGCCTCACGATACGATATTATCACGATACTTGTGTCACGATACAATATTATTGCGACTTTAAATATATTGCGATATTCTGTGATATATTGCAATTTATTACCTTTTTCCAACTTCAAATTATGTCCCCAAAGGAAAACTTTGACAACATCTGTTTTAACTAAAAAGAAACATTTCTCAGTTTGTTTATCTCACTTCAGTTTTATTGTTGCAGTGCAAAATGGGATTGTCAAGCAGACAAACTGACCAGCACTTTCATGAAAACCTGTCATAAATGTTGTATGCACCTGGCAAACTCAACTATTTGTATTACAGTCTAGTCTAG